GTTTTCTTTCTGGAGTTTCAGTCTTTTGGAAATAGAAAGTTTGTGTGTTTCTAAAACTGAAATTGAATTCTTCCAGGCTGGTTAGTGAAAAGGGAGAGGAGAAGTCATGGTTAAGTGTGGTTCCTGGACAAACAGCATCAGCTTCACTTGAGAACTTGTTAAAAATGCAAATTCTCAGGCCCAACCTTACTGGTTAGAAAATTCTGAGTGCGGGGGCCAGAAATCTGTGCTTTATCATGCTGTCCAAGTAATTCTGATGCCTTCTAAAATTTGGGTACCAGTGGGTTAAGGTTTAGTTTTATTAGTTGTAAAGGACAGCATGATATTGGAATATTAACATATATGCTGCTAATAAAGCTGATCAAATTTGGAAAAAAACAAGAACTTTGTAGCCAGAAGATCTTGGTTTGAACCCCACTGTATCACTTATTAAAAATATTATATTGGGCAAGTTACTTAGCATCTTAGCTTCAGTGTCTTGATTTGTAAAATGACATTAGTAATCCTGGAAATAAGTGATCAGTGTTGTTGCATTGAGTGCTCAATAAATACTGATTTGAGAGGCTGGATGTGGTGGCTTACTTGATCCCAGAGTTGCTTGATACCAACCTGAGCAACATAGTGAGACCCTCATCTCTGCAAAACATAAAAAAATTAGCCAGGCATGGTGACATACGCATGTAGTCACAGCTACTTGGGAAACTGAGGTGAGAGACTCACTTGAGCCTGGGAGGTTGAGGCCACAGCAAGCTGTGTTCTTGCCACTGCATTCCAGCTTGGGCAACAGAGTGAGCCTTTGTCAATAAATTAATAAACAAAATAAACAAATTAAATAAATATATAAATAGATGTGAAAGCCCCACAAAACTTAATATATGATTATATGCAAATTTTCTATTGGGAAAAATTGTAATTTTCACTGGAAGAAAAAAAATTAAGAGGCTAGGTGCAGTGGGTCACACCTGTAATCCCAGCATTTTGGGAGGCTGGGGTGGGTAGATCGCTTGAGCTCAGAAGTTGGAGACCAGCCTGGGCAACATGGCTAGTTCTCTTCTCTTCAAAAAAAAAAAAAAAAAAAAAAAATTAGCTGGATTTGGTAGCATGTGCCTGTAGACCCAGCTACTTGGGAGGCTGAGGTGGGAGGAAGGCTTGAGCCCAGGAGACGGAGGTTGTAGTGAGCCAAGATCGTGTCACTGCACTGGGCGAAAAAAAAAACAACCAAAAAGAAAAGAAAAGAAAAATTTAAGAAACACGCAAGCTTTCTTCTCGTAGTTGCTGGACTCTTTCTAGAGGTTCCAGGTTAGTTTGAGTAATTTCATATGCTCAAAGATAGTTATGGAGAACTTTCATGCTCTGAAAGTCTTGAAGGTACCTTGAATGCTTTAAAATGAAGAGGATATATTCTGGGACAGTCTGTATGCAAATTTTTCCCATTTTGTGCAAGTGCTTTATGTATTAAAAATATTTGTCATGGTTCAAGAATCAGTATAAGAAGAGATGCAGTGAAAAAAATGTCAGTTCTACCTCGCTCTCAATTGCTCCATTTATCCCTGCTCTCTGACCAATTTTCTTAATTTCTTATTTATCTTAGAATTTCTTTCTTTTTTTTTTTTTTTTTTTTTTGAGATGGAGTCTCTCTCTATTGCCCAGGCTGGAGTGCAGTGGCACCATCTCAGGTCACTGCAGTCTCCACCTCCCAAGTTCAAGCAGTTCTCCTGCCGCAGCCTCCCAAGTGGCTGGGATTACAGGCATGTGCGCCACGCCTGGCTAATTTTTTTGCATTTTTAGTACAGATGGAGTTTTACTATGTTGGCCAGGCTGGTTTCAAACTCCTGACCTCAGGTGATCCACCCACCTCAGCCTCCTAAAGTGCCAGGATTACAGGCATGAGCCACTGCGCCCAGCCTATCTTAGAATTTCTTAATGCGAATATAAACAAATATAACTAATTATTTCCTCCTTACCACAAAAGATAACCCACTAAACACACTGTTCAACACTATACTTTTTCATAGTTAACAGTTTATCTTGGATACCTTTTCACTACGAGAGCCCCATGATTCTTTTTTTCCTGGTTAACATTATTCAAGGCTACCGACAACAAACTGCATCCAATTTAAGTATATAATTTGATGAGTTTTGGCAATTGTATGCCTGAAGGCACCACCACAGTTAAGACACACAATGTTCTTTATGATTTTTTTAATGCTTTATAGTATTTCATTATATGGATATACCATTTTTTAAAATAATTTTTTTACCTTAACTTCCCAGTGTAAAGTATACCATAATTCTTTAAACCAGGTTTTGTAGATAGGCATTTGGGTGCTAATACAAACAGTGCTGCAATTAATAATCTTTTTCATACAGCATTTCATATGGATAGATTCCCAGATGTGGGATTGCAGAGCCAAAGGGGAAATACATTTGCAATATGGTAGATGTTGCCAGTTTGCCCTTCAAAGGGGTGGTACCAATTTGAGCATGTTAGGGGAAGAAAAATAATTTTTCCTATACGCTTTTAAGTTATTGACTGAGAACCCTGTAACAAAAGATAAGAGAAAAACAGAAGTTTATTAACATATATATTTCATATATACATGGAAGAAACTCAGGAAAAGAGTTAACTGTCTAATAGGTGTCTTACAACTCAGGCTTGCTCTTGCTCCTGCTCTTGCCATGTGACACGTCTGCACCGCCTTTGCCTTCTGCCATGATTGGATGCTCCCTGAGGCCTCACCAGAGGTAGATACTGGAGCCATGCTTAGTACACCCTGCAGAACTGTGAGCCAGTTAAGCTTGTTTTCCTTATAAATGACCCAGCCTTGGGTATTTATTTATAGCAATACGAAAACGGACTAAAGTACAGCACCCCAATGTGGCCTTTCCATTCTAGGAGCTGCCCAGGAGTGCCCTGGCTCCTGCAGGGCAGCAGTTGGGAGCCTTATGTCCCACATTGTGCCCAATCCTCCCACCACCACAGCTAGCTGAAGCCCAAAACTACCAGGACACATTCTCTCGAAACTCTGAGCTATTAGGAATACCTCCTTGACCATCTCTCGAGTGATCCAGTGAGAAAGAGAAAAAGAGCAGCTTCTGACATCCAGCCACAGCCAGGCACTCACAGCGAGGCCATGTAATTTTCCTACTGAATCTTCAGTGGAGCCTCCCTTACGCCTTTTCTACACCCTGGAATCAAGACAAGCTGCCCTGCACTTGGAGTTTTTTGCATGTCTAACCATGGCTCTCTCCTGGACTTGTTCCTGTGGTCCCACCCAGAAGACATTCTATGCACAGGAGGACCATTTCCCATACCCCCATGATTGCACCCTCAACCAGTCAGCAGCAAGCACTCATTGCCCAGCCATCCCCACCCCTTCCCCAAACTGTCTGAAAAACCCTAGCTCCCAAATTCTTGGGGAGATTGATTTGAGTAATAACTCTATCTTCTGTGTGGTGTGACCAGTTTTGCATCAATTGAACTCTTTACTGCAAAAGAAAAGAACTTAGCCTAATACAGCATCTTTAACAAAGAACAGTGAATTTTTTTTAACTCTTAGGTTCAGGGGTACATGTACAGGTTTGTTATATAGGTAAATTGCATGTCACAGGGGTTTGGTGTATAGATTATTTTGTCATTCAGTTAATAAATGATAGGTAGTTTTTTGAACCTCTTCCTCCCTCCACCCTCACATTGGCCCCAGTGTCTGTCGTTCCCTTCTTTGTGACTACATTTACTCCATGTTTAGCTCCCACTTAGAAGCAAGAACATGTATTTGTTTTTCTGTTCCTGTGTTAGTTTGCTTAGGATAATGGCCTCCAGCTGTATCTGTTTTGCTACAAAGGACATGATCTTGTTGTTTTTATGGCTGTGTAGTATTCCGTGGTGTCTATGTACCACATTTTTTAAATCCAGTCTACCATTGATGGGCATTTAGGTTGACTCCATGTCTTTGCTATTGTGAATAGTGCTGTGATGAACATATTTGTGCATATGGCTTTATGATAAACAATTTATATTCCTTTCGGTATATACCCAATAATAGGATTGCTGAGTCATTGGTGATTCTGCCTTGAGTTTTTTGAGAAATTGCCACACTGTTTTCTACAATGGCTGAACTACTTTACATTCCCACCAGCAGCGTAAAGTTTGTTATATAATTCTTCTGGCGACACCTCTAGGCTGATAAGGGTCTGAAGTCATTTTGGGCAGGAACTGTTATCCTTCCTTGTAGAGAGGGCAAGAGGGACACCTTTGTAAATTTATATCCTGCTTTTAGGTATAGAGAGGGAGGGCAGAGAACTTTTTTTTTTTTTTTGATACTACTACTTCTCAGTTGCTTTCAGTTCAAAATAATCCTTATGCCAAAGTGGAATGTTTTGGGGTAGCATAGTCTGCTACCCCTCAGCTCCCATCAGCAGTGTAAGAAAATTTCCCCACAGTTTAGCTAAAAAAGTATGTGATGAAACTTGGAGTTTTTGCCAATTAGGTGGAAAATGGTATTTCTATATAGTTTTAACTTACAGTTTTCATCTGAGATTGGGCATATTTTTGTATGTTAAAGAATGGACCATTTAAGGGATTTGCTTGTCTGTAAAATATCTCTTCAAACTCTTTTTCCATTTTTCTGTTGGACTTTTTTTTTTTCTGTTAATTTTTAGGAGCTCTTTATATATTAGGGAGAGTACTTCTTTCTTTGCAGATGTTGTCTTCTCAAATTATTGTTTGCCTTTGACATTGCAAAAACTTTAGTTGAAGGGTGCATCTCTAAATTTTTACTAAGGATATCTTCCTAAATATTTCTTACTTTTTATTTTTTTTCTTTTTCTCCCTCCTTTCTTTCATCCCTCCCTCATTTTTCTCTTCTTTCCCTCTCAGCCCAATTTCTTAAAAAAGGATTTGAGAGCCTAAAGATGATTTATCATTGAACAATAATCAATTCAGTGGGTGAATATTAAGTGCTTTTAATATATATGACCCTGGTTCATTTATTTTGAAGGCCATGTTTTTGGTATACTGTGCACTGGAGAAAGAACCTGTGCCAATGTCCTTGCCTCCAGCCTTGGTGCCACCATCTAAGAGAAAAACGGTCAGTATATCAGGCTCTGTGCGGTTGATCCCCTCTTCAGCATCAACCAAGGAATCTTACCACTCCTTACCATCTGTAGGCATTTTACCTACCAAAACACCATTAAGACAGGTATAGATTTATCAGTGTTAAAGGATTTTTTTTTAACAAAGTGCATGGCGTTTAATAGTTTACTACTTGACAAAGATAGAGCAATTAAAGGGATAAAAATTTTAGAGCACCATCTGGTTGAACCTACATGTGATACTCCAGAGAAGACATATTCTTTCTACATTTGGCCTTGGGTCATATGAATGTTTTATTGGCTTTATCTTGATCTCCCTGGAATTAAAGTTAGAGATGGAAGATGCTCCATGCTAACATGGCATGTTTGCCCTGGCATAATTAATAGTTGTTTTTATTTTTGTTTGATCTCAGTTAACTCTTGATTCTTTGGGATCAAATTATCGAATTCTGGGTTGTCCAAGGCTTTTTTTTTCTGCCCCCAGCCTGCCTCTTGTCAGATTGAGTAAAGGAAGATTAATGACAGGGTAGGCAAATCAGCCAGTTTGGCTGTGGTTAACACTGCTGGGTCAAACTGTAAAAAATAAAGATTGAGAATTATCTGAGTATTTTGTTTATACAGACTTTGAGTTACCTATATTAATGTGGGCATAAGTCAAGAGTTAACTATGTTTGAGTTTACTCATTTCTTAATAGAAAGTGGAAATGTGCACCTATAGATAAGTCCTAATTGGCCTGTATTTTCTTCTGTTATTTTGTCTTCACCACAGCGTTTTGATTGAGATGTCATATGGAAGTGATACATTGTTGCTCTGAGTTAGTAGGGTAGAATTGTTCAGAATTTGTGATGGATACTGTAATGGATTGAAAGAGTGACACTTCAAAGTTTGTTTCATTTTGGCAGAAATACTGTTTTTCTCCCGCGCCCGACGTGGCGCTTCGTCCTCCCCTCGCCACCGCACAACAAGCTAAATACTCGCTGACCTCCTTCCCCTCGACCCTGATAACCCACAATACCTCGCCCGCGACACGATCTCTCGGCTCCGCCTGGACTCCGGGCGGCTCCGTGACAATCCTTCTTCCCGCAAACCAGTTTCCTACCCCTCTTCTACCCTCTACTAGCCCATATATGGTAACGCCTCCTTCTCTCTGCCTCTTGCCATTCTCTTTTAAAATACTGTTCTCGCTCTCATCCCTCTCTTCCTCCTCTCTCTGCCTTTTTCCGCTCATTTGTCAGCGCTGCTTCTTTGTTTCAGATTTTTTCATAGAGAAAATCAGAATCTGAAGAACCCCTCTCCTCCTGTGGCCCTTCACCCCATGCCCAAAGCCCTCTGCCCTCGCGGCCTTACCTGCGCTCTTCTCACCATTACACGCCATCCGACACCGCACCTCATCGGCCTGCCGGCCGTCCGCGCTGCGCTCAACCGCCTCGTCATCGCACTTTGGCGCGCGCCCCACGCCCGCCGCTGCGACTCCACCTGAGGTCAGGCCGTCCTCTCGGACGCCACGCTCGGCGGCCCCCACGCTCGGTGACCCACGCGCTGTCTCTACTAACAAACCTAACAAGAAACTCCTCAGCCGAAGAGCAACACTCAGATTCGCATAGCGCACCTGTCACGCTTGCCCCCTAGGGACGCCGCTGCCGGCCCAGAATCCTCGCTTGAACCTGGGAGCACGCTGACACACACACGCGCGATTCGCCGTCGCGCCCAGCCTCACCGCCATTCCACACCCTCCAGCCTGGGCACCGAAGTCGACTCTCACCCTCCCCACACTCACAAATACCTAAAACACTGCCAGCTGGCTCCGCTAATACCTTGTTTCACTCGACCCTACCCATCCGTTCACCCACCCCTTCTGTTTTATTCATTCACACTTCACATTCTCTCGCAGCTCCGATCACCCTCATCCGCCCTTTAACAACTCGCTCCCAGCATCTCGGCCATCCTTGCCACTCACACTCTCTCACGTGGTCTACTCGTCACTCACCACACACCCCCCACCCCCCCCCTCTTCCATCGCCTTCACAATACGCCCCCACCCCTCACCCACCACCCCCAACACACCCCCCACCCCCCCCCCCACATCTACTCTGCCGCTCCTTGCACACGCACAACTCCGTGCTCTTCTACATCCGACTCTCACACGAAACCATCGCAGATAATCCCGTACCACCTGAACAACCCTGCCTCTCCTCAATGCGTGCTCCTGCTGGCAATCCACCCCACCCCCTCACGATCCCCAGCCCGGTTCTCTCTCCCCAGGCTTCCTTCGCCAAGAGGCTGCCACGCAACACCTCCAACCGCCTTGACAGCTACACTTGTTGTCACGCCGAACACTTCACAGAAACAAGCGCGCGCGCAGACAGTCGCTCGCTCTGCCCTTCCACCGATCTGCACAGAGGCCCCCTGGCGCCGGTGGCTCAGCCTCGTAACTCCAGCCCCTTTGGGAACGGCGACCGCCACGCGCGGACCTCCGAGGCTCCCCGCGCTTCGCCTCCGAACCTTCTCGGCCTACACCCGGTGACCACCCCCCACCCGTCTCCCGTAACCCCCTAACACCCCGCATCACACCCACATAACTAGCCGCAGGCGCCGACCCCGCCCGCCCTCCACGCGGCTGGCCGGGCGCCGAAGTGTAGTCCCGCCCAGCCTACTGCTGGCCCCCCGCCGCACCGCCTGGCGCCGGCGCGGCCGCCGAGCAACCGGGCGTCGGGCGGCCGAGCGCGGCCAGCTTCCGGCAGTGAGTCCGGCTACACCACACCTGCAAACTCAGCCTGGGCCGACCAGACGCCGCAAGAACTGCCGTCTCAAAAAACAAAACAAAAACAAAAAAAAAAAGAAACAAAAGCGACACGCCAAGAAACCCAAGACTGGGAAAGATTAAATATGCATAATTAGTAGTAGCTGCCACTATTGAGTGCCTAGGGTAGGCACTATACTCAATAAATGGCAGCTGTCACTGCCTTGATGTTGTGCCCAAACTTTTTATATATCCTGTCTTTAATTCTGATAATAATTTTACAAGATGAGTGTTATCATCTCCACTTTATAGATGAGGAAACTAAGGTTTGGAGAGGTTAAAAAAATTTAGCCAAGGTTACAAGAAGAAATAAGTAGAAAAGCTGGAATTTAAGATCTATGTGACACATAGTCTTTTTAAGTATGTAGTCTTTTCATCAGACCCTACTGGCCTTCAATGAGTTAAACAGATCAGGATTTCAGAAAGCTGAACTTCTTTTTTTTACTTACAGAAAAAGAAAATAGAGTAAAACGTTTGCTGTTTCTCTTCAAGTGATTGTGTAAAGCTTTCCAGATTGCTGCCTTTTCCTCACATGTGATTTCCATTTGCAGCTGTTTATTCTGCTTTGGCTTGGTGATCCTTGTATCCTCCTACTCCAAGAGTTGCAGGAGGCATAGCAACATGAAAATTGTGCTTGTTTTAGAATCCTTCTGATGCCACCAGTGAATCAAATTTGTTGAGACTTAGGTTTTATCTTTAATATCTTTTAATGTTAAAAATGTGTTGGGAATAAGGAATGTTAGAATTCTTTGGCCCACCACAATTTTTACTGTATAGTGGTTCTGAAAATTGGTAAGAAAACACAAAGTGTAAACCCAGATTAGAGGCTCTTGCTCAGCACCAGGGTGAACATTCTCTTTTTACCATCTTAGCTGATCTACCTCTTCGAACAGTTGAGTGAGTTTTTAATAACTTGCAAGTTGGTGTGACTTTTTTTTTAAATTCACCACATTGTTTTTAAAAAGCTGCATAGCGGTACTTTCTCTCTGGACTTTTTGCAGTTGTGGCACTTATATACCGTTTATTTTGTTTATTTGTGCAGGTCATTATGCGACACAAAGGACTGTGGGAAACTTTCAAAGGATCAATTTGCCTTGGCTTTTCACTTAATCAGTCAGAAGTTAATCAAGGGCATTGATCCTCCTCACGTTCTTACTCCTGAAATGATTCCACCATCAGACAGGGCCAGTTTACAAAAGGTAAGAAAGCTTAAAAGAAAACCTGAATGCATTAATTTCAAAGGAACAAATACTATGTCAAATTACAGATTCAGTTTGGATGGAATAGAAGAGAAAATGTATCTGGCTAAGAGCAGAACAGTATACTGTTTGTGGTTTAGTTTGTGCCTATAAATATGTTGGAGTGCCTTGTATAACATCCTTGGCCAGTAGCTTGTTTACGCCATTCATTAAACATGACAACTATATTTCCAATCTTAAAATTGGAAAAATGTGGACTTATTTTTCCTTTGCTGGATTTGTGAATTAAGTTTTATGAATAGATTATAAAAGGAAAGCTATAAAAATTAAATTATTGTGTTTTACTTGATGATTCACTCTTACATAAAATGATACAGATTTGAAAACAGAATCTTGCATATGATGGTTGCTTGGTGTCAATTTTACATCAAAAAAGCCTCCAAGGAAAACATTATGTTGAGGATATATATGTGTGGTTTTTGCCATAGATGACCTTTTATTTCTGAGTGTACTGCTGAATTTCATATTTGAACAGCTAGAAGTGGGTTTTACCTAGTTTTGGTTTCTGGACAGCAGTGAGAATTTTCAGAACTTCATTGTTTTAGTCATGCCTTGATTTTTCTCTCATGTAGAAACCCTTCCTAGTATGATGCATTTACAATATCTTGGCCTTTAGTAGACCTTTGAAAGGACTTGCATACCATAGTGGCTATTTGCCTTTAAAAATAAATACTTTGTATTTTTAAATTTCTTACGGCCTATAAAGTAACTATGGCTATGGCGATTTTTCAGGGTTGTTACACAGTAATAAGAGTTGTCAAATGTGTGGTATGAGGAGGGCTCTTTAAAATATCATAGAATATTTCGGGTTTTGGATTAATTTTGTCACATGGTTCTTAAAAATCCCCTTTTAAAAAGCTTAACAAAAATCAAACTGGGACTGAGCACAGTGGCTGACACCTGTAATTCCAATATTTTGTGAGTCCAAGGTGGGAGGATCACTTGAGGCCAGGAGTTCCAGAACAGCATGGGCAACATAGCAAGACCCTGTTTCTACAAAAACAAAAAAATTAACCAAGTGCATTGGCACGTACCTGTAGTTCTAGCTACTTGGGAGGCTGAGGCAGGAGGATCACTTGAACCCAGGGTCTTGCAACAGAGCAAGACCCTATCTCTTAAAGAAAGAAAGAAAGAAAATTGGATTTTTTAAGTAAACTAAATGGAATTTATAACTCAGGTATGGAGAGTTACTTACAGTAGTTTTTGTCCTTATTTGTAATAAAATAAATATTATCTGCTTTGTGAGTTATTGGGGGGGCATTTTGTGAATTTTTTGATTCCTTATGGACATGGGTCCCTTAAGTTGTGGAAAAGTGATGCCACCCAGAAAGATAAAGGTTACTGAATTTGCATTTTTGCTCTTTGCTGTATAACTGTACCTCAGTTATGGAATACTGTGTTGTTTCATGCTTTCCTTCACCTATGCAGACTGTTTTTTTATTTCGCCTTCTTCATTTTATAACCTATTCAGTTGCCTACCAACACAAATTACAGATACGACAGAAATTTCTGGAGCAAATTAAGTTTGTTCATTGAAGTCTCTATGTTAGTAGATGCTTGAAGTTGCATGAGGTATACAGTTGTCTGAAGTTCATTCACTAGATCATAGATACATTTGTCTATTTATGTCAGACACCAGCATTATTCATGGAAATGGGAATTTATCACTGCTGTCTTATCTATTAACCCAAAATTTTAACTTTAAAAATGAAAACTTGCATTGTTTTATCTTTCAAATAACCTCTTTTCTCTTTAATCTGTTTTTTTAGTACTGCATTTTTTGCAGCTTTGACTAATCCTTTTTTGAATGTTGCTTTCCTTTCTGTGTTTTTTCTAGTTTGGACTATTTTTTCCATTCTGCAGCACTCTGCTTTTCGCCTTTCTTGTACTGTCAGTTTCTTAACTCTACTCTCTCTCAAGGTTAGAGCTTTATTTTATGCCTTTTTTAGCTTTGTAGTTTTTGGTTTACAAGATACATTTTGAAAGGAGAGGTTTTTTATTCAGCAAAAAGGAGAAAATTCCTAAACAGCATGCTTTTGTCACATGTCACTTGGTCCTTGTGTGCATTTTAGCCTACTTTCCCTAGGCTCTCTGATCCACTTAACATCACCAAAGTGGAATTTTTGTGTAATATACAAGATAGGGTGAGAGGAAACATTTTGAAAGAAGGGGACATGCTATATATTTTTCCTCATATACCCTTCAAATGCTACATAAAATATTAGCTAAACTTTTTTCAGTATCTGGGATGTCACTTTCTAGCTTGTTTGAGGTTAAACTAATTTGTCTCACTCTGTCTTCTTATTTGATGATAATTTTACAGGGAAGACTATAAAATGTGAGTCACCTTTTTTTGAGTTAAAGTGACAGAGGAGGTGTGGTAGTCACAAGTTCTTTGGTACATTTGCACCTCTGATAGCAAATTTTTCATAGCATTTAAGTGAAGTAAGTTACTCTTGCTGATAAAAGTGAGACCAAATGCTAATGTTTCATTTTGTTTAGCTGTCTGGCCAGGCCTAGCTCATAGGTCAGGTTTAGACAGAGTTAAAATACTAGTGAATAGTTGTCGCATTCAGAAATCCACTTTAAAATACCTAATTTAATTTAACATTGATACGTTTTTGTATATCAGTGGAACACAGAAAATAAGAGATGTATTTCATACAAAGCTATAATTAATATAAAATTGAGATTAGTATTAAACCTTCTCAGATGAATTTTAGTACTGATAGTCAAAACAGCTTAGTACTAAAAGTGCAGTGTGGCATAAAGAAATATAAAAGGAATTACTTGCTAAATTTTATTGATGTACCTGTTTTATCAAATTTACTTTTAGAGTAATAATTTTATTTACCTAAATGATCTTGATATGCAAGTGCCACTGGGGGCATTGCATGAAATAGCACTTTAATCAGAAGACTCTTGATTAAACTGCATACTGGCTGGGTTCAACTTTGAGCAAGTCATTTAATCTGTTTCCTCAGTTCTAAAATAGGGTTAATAATAATATCTGCCCTACCTACTGCCCACTTTACAGATTAGTGTTGAGAATTAACTAGTGGAATTTAAAGTGCTTAGTGAATTGTAAATGAGTATATAAATGTGAGGAGATGAGATATCGTGTGCTTTTAGGTTTCTTCTGTTGTGCAAGTTGTTGACGTAAATTAACTATACAACAACATAAGTATTAACACTAAGTCTTATGTTCTGTTATATTATATAAAGTCAGCAGTATATCTTAGTTTTTACATGTTCAGGCCTCAGTTTTAACATTTCCAGATGGTAATTATCCTGTTATTTGTTAATCTGGTTGTAGCATTGGGTGTAGATGAAATGTCTGAGGAAGCATTTATCTTTTCGCTCTGACTTCAGCCAGCTCTCTGGGGCATCAACGATAGTTTACAAAGGACATAGAGCCAAGGTAGAAACAACTCAGTGGGAGGCCACATATTTTAAGAACATATTCTATTGAAGAGTTAATTATAACAATAGCTTACATTTATAAAAGGTCACAGTTTGTAGAATGATGATTTACTTTAAATAAAATAGACACAGTATGTAAAAAAAGTGTAAATTCCTTGAATTAAATAAAATCAACCACTACTGTAGTTCTGAGATTCAACAAATACGAATACAAATAAATCACCATCAGTTTTTCTAAGAATTTATACTTCGGTGGAGGAATTAGTTTATGAATCTGGCATCTCTTTTACTGCAAGGTTCTGAACAGGCTAGGATCAAGTGACAAAGACATTCAGATCGGAGGTGGGGATGGGGTACATAGTATAGAATAACAGTTTTCAGAGAATTTAAGGGAAATGTAAATGTCTTACTATATAATTAAGTATAAAATTATATATAATTGCACTGGATATGATTTTTTTTAGTGGAAAGTGTCAGTAATAGAGTAAAATATGCAATACCTTGTATCTGGGTAGAGCTTTAATATTTTTAGTGTCTTGTTATATATTGCATAATTTTATAGTAATGTATAATTGTGAACTTTTTGTTTTTAGAACATCATAGGATCAAGTCCTGTTGCAGATTTCTCTGCTATTAAGGAACTAGATACTCTTAACAATGAAATAGTTGACCTACAGAGGTATGTAAAGCAAAATTACAGCCTACTCATACACACACACACACACAGACACACACACACAAAGTACATACATGTATATATGTATACAACCTCTTCCCCACACACACCTTTCTGTTTCTAATGTATATTTTGATAAATGCTACCTTATTTGGTTAAGTACCACAGTTCTGTTTGAACGGAGTCAGGGTACTTCATCATATATGAGGCAGCCTTTAATTGCAGGATACACTATATACTTACGTACCACTGAAAAGTCACTGCCAAATAAACAATGACATGCCATTAACTATAAGGTACTGTTTGATTTCATTTAGAGAAAAATGTGAAAAAATGTATATCCTAGAATGACTGAAAAATAGTTTTTCTCCAACCTTAGATATTTGAATAATATATTAGAAAAACATTATCATTTAATACATTTAATAGATGGAATGTTAAATTCAGACACCATGCCAAGAGCTTTCATAATTGTTACTTGACTCTCACACAAACCTTGTAATTTGAAATAGGTGGTGGTGTTTCTATTTTACAGGTAAGAAACTTAAGACGCTTAGATTATTTTGCCCAAAATGATACAAGCTTGTCAGCTGTAGAGCTAATACCTGATCCCAGGACTACTTTATTCTAAGTTGAATCTTCTTTCTTATACATAGGTACTATGTAGGACAGACTCAAATACAATTAGATTTGAATCTGAGTATAGCAGATAGTATTGGTACTTCCTTAATTTCTGTGTTCCCTGGAAACTTTGTAGTAATACTGATTGTAAAAATGACTATAAAATTACTTTTTAAAAATAAGACAATTTTTCTGTCTACAGGGCACTGTATCTAAATATTCACACCAATCTTTTTCTTTTTTTAACCCTCACAACACTTTGAAGCAGATAATGGCTGATATACTTCATTTTACTGACAATATTGAGACATAAGGAGATTAAATGAGTTAACTGCCTTATATGGCAAGAATTTGGCAATGATCTTAACCTTATCTGTGAGACTATATTGAGATTTCTGTAGAAAAACTGGTTGTTAGAATTTTTCAGTTGTAAGAAAGAACTAAACCCAAACTAACTTAAGAGTGAAATTTATTGACATGTGAAACTGAAACCTTTCAAAGGTAGGGTTGGCTTAAAGCATTCCTTGACATTGAGGCTCAGATGATATAATCAGTTCTCTTACTCTCCATTTCTTGTTTCCATTTCCGCTGGGTTAATTCCATTCTCAGATAGACTTTCTCCCTATTTTGGCAAGAGGGCTATAGTACATCTAGCTACATGTACTTATAATTTCAAGTTTGGTGAAGAGCGCCTCTCTTCTGGCATTTCCTGGAAAAGACCTGAAATTCAGTCTAATTGGATTGGCTTATTGGCCTTTTCCTATGACATAAAACTTCTAATATGGAAATCCAACCAGGACAAAAAACCCTTCATGGTGATTGTATAGTTTAATTTTGTCCTTACTAATGGGAAAAAAAAAAATCAAATCCAGAGTCACACATCACGTTAAGAGACAGTACTGGTATCAAAACCAGGTTGTATAAGTTCAGCATTCTTTCTGTTGTACAATTCTGCCACTCATTAGGATTTTTAAGTTTTTGACTTTGGTTCAAAATCGAAGTAGTAAACACTTAATTACTGAATCTATAATGGTGTTTAGACTTTTCATTTTCATGTGGTCCATAAACATTTTTGCTTCCCTATATATGTTATATATATGTTATAGTAGGTACATTTGAAAATACTTATCTTCTGAGCCTCTTAAGCCTATGAAAATGGATACATACACCAATGTTCTAGGACTTGCTTGATTTGACTTCGAGTGTACTTGTTTAATGTATAAAATATTTCTATAATGAATTTTAATGGGAATTAGAGCATCATAGATAAAATGCTCTTACTGTTGAAAACATTATTTGTTACACTTTGGTCAACTAATCTTTCAATAACTTTTAGTAACTATAATGTTAAGTTGTACCAGTGGCAGTCTTATATAGTAAATGACAGCTGGCAACATGAAAATAACGTACCTAATATTTTGTGACTGTCTTATTATGAAAATCAGAGAATTTCAAAACCTTGCTAGTTTTTAGGGTATAGTCACATTTTATAAATGTGTGATGTATTTATACATGATTGGACATTTGTGAAAATATTTTTGCTAGACTTATTTTAGGTGAGCTCTACAGTGTAGGCAACTTACATAATCTGTCAACTCCATTAGTGTCATAGTCAGACTCATCCCCATGCTAAAATTATAGTTGTTAAAATATGCTTTTGTAAGTAGTTGTATTAGGTCATTATCACCAAATCTTCAAGGTATTACATTATAAAAACCTTGGTTTTTATTCTTGTGAATGACTGTTTTTTCCGTGCCAAGTTAAAATTCTTCAGCCTTTAATTTTTTTTTTTTTTGAGACGGAGTCTGGCTCTGTTGCCCAGGCTGGAGTGCAGTGGCCAGATCTCAGCTCACTGCAAGCTCCACCTCCTGGGTTTACGCCATTTTCCTGCCTCAGCCTCCCAAGTAGCTGGGACTACAGGCGCCCACCATCACGCCCGGCTAGTTTTTTGTGTTTTTTTAGTAGAGACGGGGTTTCACCGTGTTAGCCAGGATGGTCTCAATCTCCTGACCTCGTGATCCGCCCGTCTCGGCCTCCCAAAGTGCTGGGATTATAGGCTTGAGCCACCGCGCCTGGCCTAATTTTTTTATTAATATATAATAAGGATGTGATGAGTATGACTACAAAACAAGAAAAAATAATTTAAACAGATTTTGTTTGTGGCTTTTACTAAATTGTTACCTGATAAAATGTTAGCCAGTTCTTTGGTTTTGAGATGAAGATACTTAGTTTTAGTCCAGGGGCTGGGCATGGTAGCTCATGTCTGTAATCCCAGCAGTTTGTGGGGCCGAGGCAGGTGTATCACTTGAGAGTTCGAGACCAGCCTGCCCAAAATGGTCAAACCCCGTTCTCTACTAAAAATACAAAAATTAGACAGGCGTGATGGCGCACATCTGTAATTCCAGCTACTCAGGAGGCTGAGACAGGAGAATCACTTGAGCCTGGGAGGCAGAGGTTGCAGTGAGCCGTTGCACTCCAGCCTGGGCAACAGAGTAAGACTTGTCTCAAAAAAATAAATAAATAAATAAATATATATATATATATATATATATTTTTTAGTCCAGGGATCAAACCTCTAAGTAAACAGCATGTATGATGTGAAATTGTAATTACTGTATAATGAATATGGTGCTTTACAATACTTTTGTCTTAATGATGGTTATAATACATATTCATTGTAAAATTTGGGAAATGCATAATGAAAAAAGGAATATGTTTCTTAGAATCATATTTTGTTTTAAGCATTGCAAACCAGTGGAAATATTGAAAGCAGTATATAAACTTGAGTTAGTTGGGTAAAGAATGTTATTTGTTATTGGTCAGAAAATGAGATTTCATTGTCTTTGTTTTCATCTTTAATTCACCAAATTGTTTCTAGTAGAAAATATAAGACATTGGGAGCTTGAGGCGAGATACCTTTTGGTATATTTTACAAATTTTTCTGTGATTTCTTCAACATTTGCTATTAATTAAATGATTTAATTATGCCAATTAGATTAAATTAGTATGATATTTTTAACTTAAGGAAAAGCAATACAGGTAGTTGTCATATAACACTCATCAAATACCCGAATCTCTTACTTAAGCTCAAGACCTGTATTTTTCATTGCCTACTAGCGTTTTCATCTGAATATCTAGTAGGATATGACTTCCCTAATTGTCCCCTCACCTCTGTTTTGTATCTCCCTTGTCAGTGACATCACCATTCACCTAGTCACTCAAGCTAGAAACCTGACATTTTTCTTCTTCTCATCTTTAGTCTTCTACCTTTGCAGTGTCTCTTGAATTCGTTCCTATCTTCCCTGTTGTCTGATCAATTTCTCACTCTTCAAATCTCACCTTAGACATCATTTCCTCTGGGAGATGAAGCCTTCCTTAACTTTACCTCCCAACCTCTCTTCTCTCTTCAAGTCTTATTTAAGAGCCTATTTTATGTAGTCTTTATATTTACAACTGTTATAACATTTATCATACTTTGTTATAATTCTGTGTTTTTTAAATCTCCAACTAGATTATGTGCTTCTTAAGCACAGGGGCTGCTTGTATCCCTAGTGTTTAGCTTATAATAGATGAGAAAATAATCTTTTCAATATTGTTGAAATCTGTCTTAAAGTTGTCATAAAATACAACTCAGATCCCTCAGTGACTTCCCATCTCCAACTGAATCCAATTCACTTCTTTGAACATGGCGTAAAGGCTCTTCCTTCATGGTGTTCACTTGGCATCCTGACCATTCTTCTGTCTTAGCCACCTCTCAGAGTGTGCTCCCTTATGGTACTGTAAAGCTATTTGAGAACAGATACAGTGTGTTTGCTCTTTGTACTCTGAGGGCTCAGTACAGTACTCGAATCTACTATTTCAGCTTTATCCCCTTTCTCCAGTTGTATGATAGATGGGTTTATTACCTCTTACTTCAACATACCACCACTTTTATTCCTCTTTGCCTCTGATCCTACTGTTTCCCTTTGCCTGAAGCACACCTTTTACCTTATAAGGTTTTTTTCATGTTCAAGACCCATCTTAAATATTGTCTGTTCTGTCAAGCCTTCCATGAAATCTTCAGATTACTAGTTATTCTTTTCTCTTCTTCCAGAGGCTTTATTCCTTTATTGTAGTATTTTCTACTGTTTATAGTAATTTATATCGCTTTTTTGGTAAATTTTTAATTCCTAAGGGCAAGAGCTATGTCTTGTTCATTTTGGTAGGCCTAGAAATTAACACACACATTACTTGACCCCGTGGAATTAGTATAACCTAGTTGGTTGAATGAATGACTCAAAGTATGTTATAAATATTGGAATATTTCCAAGACTTACTTTCTGCAAAATTTATGGCAGAATAGAAGCCATGTGTTAAATGTTGAACTAAGGCAAAGACTTTCT